AGGTCGTGTGGATCCAATGGCAGTGGTAACATCTCCAGGGCTCTGACAGCAACCAGGGTCCACCAGCAGGAAGGTGAAGGTGGAGAGAGAGGGGAGGTTCCCAGCACCCTCTTTTTTTTATTTTTATTTTTTATAGGATGAGTCTTTATGAGTACTGATCCACCTTGGGCCGCAGCCCATGAGTTGTTGCCCTGCACAGTTTGATCTCCCATTCCTTTTTTATTTTTCAATCGTTTTATTAGGGGCTCATACAACTCTTATCACAATCCATACACACATCAGTTGTGTAAAGCGTATTTGTACATTCATTACCCTCATCATTCTCAAAACATTTCCTCTCCACTTAAGCCCCGGCATTAGGTCCTCATTTTCCCCTTCCTTCCCGCTCCCCACTCCCTCATGAGCCCTTGATAGTTTATAAATTATTATTTTGTCATATCTTGCCCTGTCCAACGTCTCCCTTCACCCACTTTTCGGTTGTCCGTCCCCCAGGGAGGAGGTCACATATAGTTCCTTGTAATCAGTTCCCTCTTTCCAACCCACTCTCCCTCTACCCTCCCAGTATCGCCACTCACACCACTGGTCCTGCAGGGCTCATCCGCCCTGGATTCCCTGGATTTCCAGTTCCTATCTGTACCAGTGTACATCCTCTGGTCTATAGAATTCGTGTCATGATAGTGGGAGCGGGGAGGAAACATTTAGGAACTAGAGGAAAGTTGCATTTTTCATCGTTGCAACATCGCACCCTGACTGGCTCGTCTCCTCCCCGAGACCCCTCTGTAAGGGGATCTCCAGTCCCAGCACCCTCTTATGAGAAGGCCACACCCACAAAGAGGCACCATCAGGCCATGACCTGATTGACAGGTTGAATACCACCCCATACACTTTTATCTCTTCAAGTGGACATAAAGTTATGTAACTACCACAGCAACCTACTTCTAAAAAACCAGCCATTGGAAACTGCTGCGCAGTTTGTTCTGTTCTGATGCACACTGGAGTGGACTCAAGGGCCCTTGGAGGGTCCTGGCTTGTTTTCAGGGACCTGTGCTACTCCTGCGGTGGTCTTCACTGTCCCTTAGAAACTCCTTAAGTGGGTGGCAAGAACCCCACGGAAATGAAGATATGTCCATTCGTCAAAAACTAAGACCTACTCAGTAGCCAGGCCTAAGAAGGCAGTGCTTCCATGGCTGTGTCAGGAGAAAGTGCTGGCTTTGAGGCTCGTCTTTGGGAGCGCTCTCCGGCCTCTGTGGGTAGGTGGCCTCCCTCCTTATTTCATTGGGAGCACTGAAATGACCTGAAAGGAGACTACTTGTCCCTGGTTGACTTCTCTGTGGCATGTCCCTGTCCACCTCCATTCACTTAGCCTTTCCGACTGCCTCCATGACAGGGGTCCCTCTCCCCTCTCTGGAGCCCTCCCTGGCCCTCTCCTGGGCAGCTCCGGTGTCTTGCTGTCACCTCAGACACGTCTTCAAGGAAACTGGGTCCTACATCTCCACCCACTTGGCCAAAGGCAGCGCTGCCCCTCCTCACCCCCAGGCAGAAACAAGCTGTGACTCACCCTGCCCATCCAACCAGGCCCCAGTCCTGAGAGTCCTCTGTGGCAACGTCTTCCTTAACGTGCCTTCTTTCAGCTGACACCCTGTCCTGGCCACGATCATCCACAAGTGGACGAGTACCAGCCTCCACCCTTGTCTTCCCTCCGGTCTCATCCTCTTCCCAAGACTGCTTCCGGAGAACTCACCAAACCCTTCCCACATGAAGAACAAGTTTCTGACTCTTTCTACCCCGCCTTGCCAAGCCACCATTGCTTCCGGGCTCCTCTGTTCCAGAAACCTGGGCCCCACTGCCCTCTGATAATAATAGACAGACCACATGCCAGGCATGTCAGAGCTGTATCTTGAACCTTTAGGTGTTACTGTCTCTCTCCTTTAGGCAAGGAAAAGTGGGACCACACAGGTCACGCTGCCTATGTACAGCACAGCTGGGACTGAACACCATGTCTGTCTGGCCCAAAGCCTCCTGTCACACCTGTCCCCACCTCTGTAGGGAGATCAAGCTGTTCACCCCGGCTCCACCCAGCTTCTCAAATCCCCTGGACCATAGTGCCACCATGAGGCGTAGGCGATAGTTTCAGCTCACATCCCTCACTCTCCTCTCAACCTTTTCGGGCATGAATCTCAGCCTTGCAAATGTAGTCCTTAGAGACAGACTGCCTATAGGGGTGCCAGGAATCCTGGTGGTGCAGTGGCAATGCTAGAACCCACCACGCAAAAAAGATGTGGCAGTTGACTTCCAGAAAGATTGCAGAGTGAGAGAGAGAGAGAAACCCAACAACCTCACTGTCATGGACTCCATTCTGACTCACAGGACAAGGTAGGACTGCCTCTGCAGGTTCCCAAGTGTGTAACTCTTTATGGGAATAAGGCCTCATCTTTCTGGACACTGGTACAGATAGGAACTGGAAACACAGGGAATCCAGGGCGAATGATCCCTTTAGGACCAGTGGTGTGAATGGCGATACCGGGAGGGTGGAGGGAGGGTAGGGTGGAGAGGGAGAACCGATTACAAGGATCTACATGTGACCTCCTCCCTGGGGGATGGACAACAGAAAAGTGGGTGAAGATATGAAAACAATAATAATTTATAAATTATCAAGCGTTCATGAGGGAGGGGCGAGCGGGAAGGGAGAGGGGGAAATGAGGAGCTAATACCAGGGGCTTAAGTGGAGAGCAAATGTGTTGAGAATGATGAAGGCAATGCATGTACAAATGTGCTTTACACAATTGATGTACATATGGATTGTGATATGAGCCCCTAATAAAACGATTAAAAAAACACACCAAAAAAACACCCATTCACTTCTATAAAAAAAAAAAAAGAATGAAGACAATATTCTAAAAATGATTGTGGTGATGATTGTACAACTCTTCTTGATATAATCAAACTATGGAACTATATGATATGTGAATTATATGTATGTAATTAAATAAAGCTGTTGAAAAAATAAAAGACCTCATCTTTCCCCTGCAGAATAGCTGGTGGTTTCAAATCACTGACTTTTCGCTTAGCCACCCAGTACATAACTCACTTCACCAGCAGGGCTCCAGGGTCCATAGAGAATACAGCCTTGGCAATCCAAGAGGGCACTTCTACCCTGTCCGAGAGGGTCTCTGAGGCAGAATTGACTAGACGGAAGAGTTTCTCCGTTTATGTCACACCCACCTATCATGTTCTCTAAGAAGCCTGTGAGTGACTGAGTAAGGGGCTGGAGCGTCCACATCATTCTCATCCCCCACGACATGGGACACAGGCTGGAAACTGGTTTCCCAGGAAGGGGGCAGCGTCTCTGTTTTCCAAACTATGGGGCTCCACTCTGTCTTCCCCCATTCTACCTCCCAACCTCCCGGTGACACAGTGGTCACGCACGCACACGCACTGTCTCTTTCGGTCACTCACGCTTCCAATCAAGACCTCCCTTTCTCAAGAGATGTCATGACATACGAAGCAACCTACCCCAGGCAGGAAACTCCTAATCGAGTCCCAGCCAAGTCTCCTTGCACAATTCCCACGAAGGATCAGAGGGGCCACCAGAATTGGTGGGATTCCCTGGGATGGATCAATTCTTGATATCACGCCCTAACTGAGCCCTGGCAACGGGCAGGGGCTTTGGTGTTAGTTCTAACTAAGCCTGGTCCTTCTAGGGGCAGTGGCACATCAGCACTCCGGGATACCCTGTGCCGTGAGATGGACAGACTGTGAGGACCCCACATCCCTGGGGACTATGGCCTAGCACAATGCTCCCACGAGGGTTTATACAGCCAATAGCCTTCCAAAGCAGAACCCTGGTCTCCATATACCTCCGCGGCCCTTGGCCCCCAAACACCTCTCTGCCCTGACCCTGACTCCGAGCTGTCAGCCCTTGGAGTGGAATCCTGCCGTCCCAAAGGGCTCATTTCAGAGTGGAAAGCAGAGAGCCGTAGGATGCCTAGGGCCAGGCAGTGTGTCCTTCCGTCGTTCGTAAGGATGAGTTGGGGCTGACTCTATGGCCTGTCACCACAACACCCACTTAAAATGAGCTAGATCCGGATCGGTTTCCTCCTGAACATTTAGGAGATAACAAAAGATTTATGGGGCTTGGTGTGGGGGCACTGACCCAGGGTTAAAAGGTTAGGGAAGGGCCCAGCAGAGATGGTGAGGCGCAGGGTGGGGCTCATGAACCTGACTTCTCTTGCTTCACAAGTTGCTGGTGGCCAACCCACCTATGAATAAACAAAGGGGCACCTAGATCATATGAGCAAATCAAAATAATTAAGTAACTCA